AGTGACCAGCAGTGCTCCTCAGGGTGCAATTCTAGGGCCAGTTCTGTTCAATATTTGTATCAATGACCTGGATACAGGAGCTGAATGCACAGCCAGGAAGTCTGCAGAGAAAACCAAACTGGGAGGTGGCTGTCTCAGGGGACAGGAGGCCTTGCAGGGGTGTCTGGATAGATTGGAGCATTGGGCAATCATCAATGGCATGAAACTGAACAAGTGCAAATGCTGGATTCTGCACCAGGGATGGAGTAATGCTGGACATGAGACATGTGGCTGGAGAGCAGCCCTGCAGAAAGGGATCTGGGGGTGCTGGTTGGCAGGAGGCTCAACAAGAGTCACCAGTGTGTGCCCTGGCAGCCAGTGGGGCAAACCTCATCCTGGAATGCACCAAACACAGCATCACCAGCTGGTCAAAAGAGGTGATTGGATGATCACCTCTGTATTTAATGCTGGTGCAGCCCCATCTTGAGTAGCAGTTTGATTTAAAAAGGATGTGAAGATACTTGAATGTGTCCCAAGGAGGAAGGCAAGATGGCAAAGGGCACAGCACACATGTCCTTGAGGATTCTGAGTTTGTCTGCTTTGGTGAGAAGGAGGCCAAGTGGCCACCTCACTGCTCCCTATAGCTTCCTAAAAAGGGGCAGTTGAGAGGGAGGTGCTGAGCTCTTCTCCCTGGTACCCAGTGCTAGGACATGTGGGAACAGCTAAAAGGTGCATCCATCAGGCAAGGCTCAGACTTTTACATAAGCAAACATCTTCCTTACGCAAAGGGTAGCGAAACCTGGAACAGACTTCCTGTAGAAGTGGTCAGTGCCCTGTGCTTGTCAGTGTTGAAGAGGCATTTGGACAATGCCTTTAAAGCCATGCTTTAACTCCTGGTCAGTCCTGAAGTGGTCAGGAAGTTGTGACTAGGTGCTTGTTGTGGGTCCCTTCCAGCTGTTCTATTGTGTTCTATGAAATTCTTTCAATTTACTCTGTGGGAATAAAATAGAACTTGAACCCATGAAACAGGGGACAACAGCAGAACAAGTCTATACCAAATACCGAGTAGTATAATGCAAGATGATAAAAACTGATACAAAAAACATAAAATGGGGGTCAACAGAATGGCATTGCTGTTAAAACTCACAGCTCACCCTCACAAAAGCAGAAAGGCTGGAACAAGTAATGCTGCCTATTTAGACCCTTTGACTCATACATATTGCATTTTCTGTATATAAAAGTTTTCAGTCTCTTGCACACAATAGAAGTCAGGTTGCATCTGCTGAAAAAGGAACTCAACCTTCCCATAAAACAGCAATTTGCTAGGTCAAACCTCTTTATAGGCTTTATTAATGAGATAGAAGAATAAAATATCTCACAAAAGTATCAAAAAGAAATAAAAAACAATCAAGAAAGAAAACATATAGCCAAATACTTGAGAAGCTAGGAGCTAAACCATCAATTTCAAGCTATTTATTTATTAATTTATTTTATATATATATATATATTACACTAGTAATAAACTTAATACATAAACAAGGATTGCTTAATGAATTAGGTGAATTACTCTTGCATACTGGATTTCTTGCCATCCTAAACTTCTCTAGCTACATTTCCCTCTTGGAAAGCATGTAATTTCATGGCTACTCCTGCTTCATGAAAGAGGATGCTGTTGGGTTAGTACAAGGAGAGAATAGCAATCAAGACATCAAAGATTTCAGAATAAAACCCCTTTTGCTTGCCTCTGTTGGTTTAGCATGACCTGGTTTGGGCAGAGGAGAAGCTACAGGAGTGGCTTCTGTGAGAAGCTGCTGGAAGTCCATGATGGTATTTGATGAGTGATCTGTCCAGGTCCTTATCTCAAGCCATGAACCCTTCATTATATTTTTGTCTCCCGTGTCCAGCAGCAGAAGGGAGAGGGAGAGAGGCTTTGGTGGATTCCTAGCATCCTGCCAGCATCAACACACTACACCTGCCTGGAACCATTACCAGCCACAAAAGCGGAGTCTTGTAGACCATGAGAACTCACAGAATGGGCCAGGTTAGAAAGGACCACAGTGGGTCATCTGGTCCTACCTCCCTGCTCAAGCAGGGTCATCCTTGAGCACGTGGCAGAGGATTGCACCCAGACAGTTCTTCAGTATCTCCAGTGAGAGAGACTCCACAAGCTCTCTAGGTGATCTGTTCCAATATTTGAGCACCCACACAGCAAAGAAGTTTGTTCCTGTATTCTGGTGGAACTTTCTGTGCTTCAGTTTATGTGCAAGTAATATTCCTCTAACAAGTCTACACAGTAGCAAGGAAAGAAGTTGAAAAATTCTTTTAGCTTTAGTGTATAATCCCTATACTTATAATTAATGCTTAATTTTGTGCCATACAGTGCTTAGTACGAATACCAGAGATTAATGTGGCCTTGTGCTAACTTTCTATATCTGTGACCAATAACAGGCAGGCAATGCTTCCTTATTTACTTTTATTCATGATCAGTATGTACCAGCAGATTTTAGAAAAAGGATTTAGAAAAACCTTTTAGAAAAAGGATTGGGTGTCACACAATGATAAAGGAAATACATTTCAACCTGATCCCATATTTGAAATAGTCTCAAGGAGAAAAGATTTATCAGAAGATCCAGAACTGTATTCAAACATGTCCATGGAAATAATTAGCATATATGCATAGACTGAGGAAATGTGATGAATATGTTTTAGTTTCAGGAATATAACCTGGTCTGTTAAGTTACTAGGCATGCACGCTTTGAGAAGAATTCCTCATGCATCCAGTACTGCCAATAGTAATGCTGTCTTTCTGACCTAGTAAATTGGTTGGAGAGTTTCTTAGTTCCTGGTGACACTGTTGCCTCTTGTCCTAGTGCTTGGCACCACCAAGAAGAGCCTGGCTCCATCTTCTTCACGTGCTCCCTTCAGATACTTACAGACCTTGATAGAGCACTGCTGGCCCTTGAACACCTCGTTGTCCACCAGGACCCACAGGTCCTTCTCCACAGAGCTGCTTTCCAGCGCTTTTGCCCCCAGACTGTGCTGGTGCAGGGGGTTATTCTTCCCCAAGTGCAGGACCCTGCAATTGCCTTTGTTGAATTTCAGACAGTTCATCTCTGCTCATCTCTCCAGCCTGTTAAGATGCTTCTGAAGGGCTGCACAGCCCTCTGGAGTACTGACCACTTCTCCCAGCTTTGAGACATCACTGAACTTGCTAAGGAGGCATCTCTCCCTTCATGCCAGTCACTGATGGATAAGTTAAACAGTTCTGTGCCAGTACTGAACCTTGGGGACACCACTAGTGATAGGCCTCCAAACAGACCCTGTGCAGTGCCACAGAGATTAATCCAGAGATTACAGCTCTCTGGGATCTCCTGCTCTGTTCTCAATTGATGGCACTGTCCACTCATCCAATCCACACTTCCTGAGTTTGTCTGTGAGGATGCTGTGAGAGACAGAGTTGAAAGCCTTGCTGATGCCAAGGTAGACAATACCCACCGCTCTCCCCTCATCCATCCAGGTACTGGTCTCATCATAGAAGGACATCAGGTTGGTCAAGCAGAATTTCCCTATAGTGACATCCTTGTGGATAGACATGGTCTCCAAAATGAGGTGCTCCATCACTGACTGGTCAGTTGTCCCCTGGATCTTCTTTCTTGCCTTTTTTTGAAGGCCAGGGTGACTTGTTCTTACTTCCAGTCCTCAGGCATCCCTTCTAATCTCCAGAGTCTTTCAAAGATGATTGTTATGGTGTCTGCCAGCTCTCTCAGCACTCATGGATGCATCCTGTCAGGTTCTGTGAGCTTGTGGATGTCAAGCTGGCCTAGGTGTTCTTTAACTCAATCCTCCTTGACCAAGGGAAAATTTATGCTACTAAAAAATATATTGTCTACAACAAATGTCTGACAACTACACATGGTACAAAAAAGAATTTGAAGGTGCATTTTTGACTGGTTTTAAAAGAATTAGCTAATTCTTGGCAACAGGAAGGAGAAAAGGTGTCTGGCAAATCTTCAGTAGTGGAGACATAGTATCCTCTTAAAAATAGGTGTCTATTTCCTACTGTTGACTTTGGATGCTCAAATATTACCCACGTAACTCCTCAACTTATATTGCACATTACGATGAATGAAATGCAATACATACAGGTATAATAATTTCATCTTTGTGTATACTTATGAACATTTCATAAGCCAAATTTCATGCACTGAGAATTATTTACGATAACAGCCGTCTTCATTATTAAAAAACAAGTAAGCTTGGTTATCTGTCAATGAACCTATTTGTTCATGTCTCCATCTAATTTATGGAAAAAATCTAAACCTACTTTCTTCCTTGTCCTGTCACAAAAATCTTTGTTAAAAGATTTTTGTCTCTCTCTGTCTTTCTTATAAGACCCCTTATGTATGGAAAACACCAGAAGAAAGTCTCCCCAGAGCCTTCTCCATGGAGAGCTGAACAACCCCAACTCTCAGCCTTTTTCATAGAAGACATATGTAGAAAGACATTTAGCTCAATATGATCTGAGAATGTCTAATGAGGAAGAAAGTTATGAAAAAAACCTTTTTCTCCAAACCACTTGAACCCTATTTTTAAAAAAATTAATACACAACTAAATCGCCACTGATTTTGTGAGGACTCTGTAAAATCACAGCAATGAGAGAAAAAAAAAAAGTTCATTACTCCCAAGTTTTCCCCAACTTTTCATTTCAGAAGATCAGGTTAAAACTATCTGGAGTATATTGCAGCATTGACTTCATTGATTGAGTTTCAATAAAAGTGTCTTTAAAAAAATCCCCAAAAAAACCCCAAAAACCCCCACCTAAATATTTAAATGTGTTATCTTAGATTTTGAAACAAGCAGAAATAAATATTGCTGGTTCAAAATAAGCAGCCCTTGTGCAGACACTCATGTTCACATACAGGATTTGAAGAGGGACCTTTTCCAGAATCAGGGCAAGCAGAGATTACGGTTTCTTACAAATGAGAAGCTCAGGACTTGAAGCTCTTCTGAAAGATTTTTATGATGTGCATCTTAGTTCTTCCCTGATCTCCAGCTGCTCTTCCTACTCAGCAAAGCCTTAAGAATCTGCTTCTTAACAGCCACAACTCGAGAACAGCTGTAGAGACACCTACAGTGGTGCACTGGAAGGACAGTCACATAACCCTCCAGATGAAGGAACAGCCACGTTCATGGCTGTTTTCTTCAAGAAGGTTTTTGGAAAGAGGTCAGACTCATTGCTGGTGGGCTACCAGAGTGGGAAATATTCCTGTATGCATTTGTGAGCCATTGCTGGCTGCATTACACCACTTTGAGAGTTGAGGACAGGAACAATCATCAGGAAGCCTTTGCACTGAAGGGACCAAGATGAATTCCAGCAGCTCCTGCCACAGGCCAGACTTTGCACAAGCACAAAGCAACAAGACACTTTCCCATTTAAAACAGAAATTAAAGTCCTACTGTAGAGACATAAGACAGGAACTGACCTTTAAAAGGTAGCTGTCAATCACCACAGCACTACAAAACCTTTCAATGGATGTCTCTCCAAAGAGTTAACAATCCCTGTATGGCACTTCAGGAGGGCTGAACACAGATAATTATCCACACGTGTTCTGGCTACAGGGCCAAGCATAGCACCAGGATGAAACCAGAGATAAATAATCTCAAGAGAAATCATCCATTTCTTCTGGGGTGTTTTGGACTTTATTAGCAAGAAACCAAATGGAGACAAATGCAGAGTTTCAGACTTTGTTTAAGACTGTACTGGTTCGTCAATACGGCCAAGAAATATTAAGCACATCAGATTTTTAAAATGCCCTCAAGACAAAGAGAGAAACATACGATGTTTTAAAATGTAATTCACCTTGACTGATGGGGAAAACAGTATGTTTTTCTTAGCAGACAATAAAACAGGCACTCCAGATTACTTTTGGAAGTGAATAGAAGACAACCCCTCTCTAACCCAGTATTACTCTAATGAAACATTCATCCACAAAATAAAACCTATACATTGAATCAGTGTAATCATTTTAAATAGTAACAACACCCTTGGTTAGCTACTTGAGGACTACTTGTTTAGACAATTACTGAATATCTAGAGTAGTTGAAATGCACAAGGAGGTTTTATATGGACACTTTGTGAAAGAATATTTAAATATAAATAATATTAATAAATAAGGTAAGTTAATTTGGCTTTGCTTTAGCATGGTTAATGCCAAAATAGTTAGCTAATATGTTCTCTCATTCACTACGGGCTGCACACTTCTGTATATTCTACAATGCTACTGATCTAAATTACCTTTGATATTTAAGCTTAATTTAGAAAATATATCTTGTTAAGTCCCCAAAACTGTGTAATTTCAATAATTAATATGAGACATTAATGGAGATTAATTTATCAGTACTTTTTTTTTAAAATGAAATTCATCAGAAGTCAAATCCAAGATTACATATAAGAGGAAATGTTAGTGTGCAGACAATAAATCTGTATGTGCTTGTCTTAGCTTGCAGATACAATGAGTTTTGGAAAATAATTATTTATGACTATGTTCAAAAGTAAACAACTTGTACATAACATTAAGAATATTCTTGGCCTTCATCTCCACTTTACACCACAAAACTGTAGCTTGACTTTTTGGGATATAAAGAAATAAAAACCCAAACAAACAGGTCTGTCTTCTAAATCTCTACAGTCTGTTTTCCTCAATTTCTCCTTCTCTTCCTTTCTTAGGATAGTTTCAGGAGAGCCACTTATCAGCCTCAAGGTCTAATAAATTCTGTTTTAACATGAGTTTTCAGAAAACATTATTTCTGATGAAGGTGAGTCACTGCTGTCTTATCAGTAGTGGTTGGTGAGGAAACCATTTTACCTGTTTGCTCTCAGCCACCAACCTATGACTCCCCAGAAGTCCTGAAAATGCCAAGAGGGCAACAAAACCCAGTGATTTTTCATTTTCTTCATTCAAATACTTCTCTTGTCTGCTGGTAAAGACACTGTAAAAGTCCATGAATATACATATCTGTTTAACTGCATCATTCCTGTTTTCACATCTTAAGTACCATGCTAAATTTTAACCAAAAATCCACAAATCTTCAATTTTATGGTAGTGAAACTGGAGATGCGGTTGTTTCCCCCATCTACTTTATGTCAGTCTAACTGGAGGCTTGCACTTAGATTTTATGCAGAAAAAAACCCCGAAACAATGAAGAATTCAGATGTCTGAAATGCTTCCCATTGTAAATACAAACAGACAGGAGAAATTTCAGACCTGACTCTGTTAAGTAAGACTAGAGAATTTAAAGCAGTTTTATTGGGGCATCAGAAGTTTTGGGGCAGCAGAACTTTCATCCAACTGGAGTAAAACTGCTGGCAAACAAAAATGATAAAGCTTTTGAGAATTTAAATAAGAGTGAGAAAGAAGGCTGACAGGTGCTAAAGAGCACTCAGGTCAGACAAAGACATCTGCCAGAAACTTCAACAACATAAAAGTAACTTTGAATCCAGTAGTGAAGGAAAAGACAAAAAATTAGAGTTGAAATGAAGCTGAAATCACAGAAGTAATTTCCATAGAGAAAAACATGCATCAGGATTTTAAAACGTCCATTAGCATTATAATGAATTTAAATAAAAGTACACCTACATGTGATGTCATTTTGGCATGTATAAAATAAGTGAAAACATAAAGGGGCTAAAGCTTTAAGACAGAAAAAGCTGTAAAGTAGAAATATACATACTAGTAGGGTTTTAGTATTGATAATTCACTGTATGCTTACTGTAATATTTTTTTATTATTTTTTTTAATACTGTGGACTGTCTCCACACTGGGATCCACAGTGACTTGAGTGCACACAGAAAATTCCTTCTCGACAAAATTTAACTGGAAGATCTTGTCAGAAGAGCACCTAAAGCACTCTACCCACTAATGGGCATTCACAGAATCACAGACCCAGACTAGGACGAGACTGAAAGAAAACCCTGAAAAGTGTGCAGTGTAGACATCAGACACCACAAAGTATTTCAGTACTAAGAGCCTCCTTCTACTGGTCTGCACTGCTTTTTATCAGAGCCACGGGGTCTGGAAAGGTCTAAAACAAGAGTGATAACAGAGGGCAACACAATATGTCTCCATAGAAAGTGGCAAACTATTACATTCAGCAAGATTTTGGAAAGGAAATTCTTGAAACAACTTGTTGTTCTTGGATATATTCTATAAATGCTGTACAGTCATATGATATATTCTATGAAAACAATTGTTGAAACAACTTGTTGTTCTTGGATATATTCTATGAATACTATTGTTTTATCTTAGTATTTTTTACAGAAAACAGGAATGCAATGAAGTTTCACCTTAGGATAAATTCTTCTTGAGCAGTTACTTATTATTATATGATGGAGAGATGAACAACTGTAAAGGTTTTACTTTTTAACTCTAGACAAAAAATATTGGCTCAGCACATCCCAGATAAAATTCTGGATCTAAACAATATGGTTCTGGCTGCTTGGAAGGACCTGTCACTCTCTGGAAGTGACTCTCTCGAGGAAGAGGGGCACTTTGGAGGAGCTGTTGGTTAAGGAACCTTCTGAAGGTATTTCCAAATATAGGTCTGTCACCACCAGAGAAGATTAAGACTAAATGTTTGACAGAATTAGAAACAGCAAACAGTCCACCCTCCCCAGAATTCAACCTTCTCAACACAAAATTTAAGAAAATGCACCATTTTGTGACTTGCTTGTAAGTTAATAATTCCAATTCACATATTTGGTTTCTGCTCCATTTGCTCTTCTCTCATCCTCTTCATGTAAACAACTTTCTTCCCCCCACCAAAAAAGTGAAATTCAAAAATATACTGACACTCAGAAAAACCTACAGTAATACATCATTAGATCTGCAATCTTTCTGCTGCACAAGTTGGTTCCTCTCAAATTTATTACTAAAGGTGTACATGGCTACTAAGACATGCTACAAAAAGCAACCATTGTAGTCTTACCTACAAGTGTATATACAGATTTATATTATACAATTACTATCATTCTACATTCCATGTTTAACAAAGGAACCAATAAATAATCAGATTAAAGAATAAATAAAGAACTTCTTGTTTACTAAACTTCTACCCTCTCCTTTTCTCCTGAATTATAACTATACATGTTTCAAACATAGCACACATAGTACTGACTTGTTCTAGAAACAAACACATTTTTCTCTTAGAAAATGGTTATACCTATGTGCAGGGGAAGACAAAGTCAAATATGGTGCAATCAGAAAGTTCAAATCCAACCTTAAATCCAAACTTACAACACTAAAATACAATTTTTGTTTTCTATTACTCCAAAATGTGACTCATGACAGAAACCTGCTTCAGACCATCACAGGAGAAATGTCAATGGAAGACATTTACATCTGTTTTAGTTCTAGAGTAAATTAATGAAACAGAAAAAAAAAGCAGGAAAGTGTCAATGCTCCAGATTTCTATGCACAAAAATAAAGTACACATTTCTGTCTTACTGCTTCTATACAGTCTCTTTGCTTATCTGCTGGGTGTATGAGTATTCCTTTCATTTCTCTGAAACAACAGTTGTATTGGAGACTGCCTTGCAATTTCCTGAGATGATGGACTGTCCTGAGTTTAGACATCACTCATAAGAGACAGCTCTGACTCCGAGGGCCCATTGGCATCTTGGAATTCCAGCTATAAACTTTGTGATGTTTCTGTTTGACAAAGGGGTTAATTTTCCATAGATCAGAATTACTACCTGTCTCATTGCTTATGCCTTTTTTCCACTTGCTGTCTTTGCAGTTATAAGCAATGTAATCATTAACTTTTTTCCCCCAATGTTTTCATCAGAGTAGCTACTATTTTCACAATGAATTTGAAAAAAATCCAGAGGTTTTTTTCACTTTTTTTTTTTTTTTTTTTTTTTTTTTTTTTTTTAAATCCTGAAAAACAAAGAAAGAGCAAGATCTAACAAAAACTTGAATCTGAGTTATTACCCCTAACCTAGAGCTACTGCAGATACATCCAAAAGAAACTTGAAAGTAGTTAA